CAAAGTTAGTTATATCCCTTCGCTGCCGCCGACAACACGACAGCCAACACAGCCGGCAGGCTTTCTTATCATTCCATCCGGGGGGCTTGGTTGACTCCCCGGAGGTGGTGGGCTGTCGGAGAGCACGGCGGCTAGCGAGCAGCGCGGGGTCGGCGGGGGCGGCCCGCCCCCGCCCACAGCTAGGCGCCCGCCGCGGAACACGCAGGTGATATTGCAGAGTGGAGTTCGGTAAACTCATAACGACCGGTGTTGGTCGGGGTGTGGTTCAGCCCGACCGGCTCCCACGTGCTGTTGTTTGGCACCGCAGTTTTCTTTATGTTTATTCCACATGGCCAAGACGGCGACAACGACGACGTGCGCTTTTCTTAAAAAGAAAACAAACAAACAAAAACCTTTTTGTCTTTGTTTTCCGGGACGCGCATTCATTATAGGCCTAAAGGAAAAACTTGTCCCATAAGTACTTTAATTTCTCCAAGTTTCGCTCTGACAGCGCGGGAACTTTCAGACGGGGGTGAGCCCTTGCGATGCGTGTGTGTGTGCGCGCGTGTGTTTGTGCGCGTTCACTCCGCACCGCCGTCCGCGCTCCGACCTCCATCACTCAAGCTCGTCGCCGAGGGGTCGGCCCAAGTCAACAGCGCGCGGCGCGGCGGGCTTGCCAGCCTCCTGCTGGGCTCCTGCCCGCGGGGCCCGGAGCCCGCAGGGCAGGGCGCAGCGGGCGGGCGGACGCCTGTCGCTCCCGGCGGCGGTTCGCGGTAGGCAAGAGTGCTCCCCCCGGGTTTGGCGGCCCGGCTGGAGGCTGGGCGTGGGCGGGCAGGAGTGGTTGAGGATGGCAGGGAGCGGCGAGAGATAGGCCTACCACCTGTCTCACCCGCCCCCGTCAAGCCTTCCCGTTTCAGCTCGCTCCCGCCCGCTCCCGCCCGCCCGGCTGCGTTGTCCGCTACCAAATGAGCGGCGCGCAGGGCCCTGGTTGGGTTGGGGGGAGCCGAGAGGAGCACGAGGGCATTTTCTCGTCGTCGGACACGAAAATTTCGTTGTTCCATAAAACCGGGTTTAATTCGAACCGCTCGCGTGCCCCTGGGGGGCATGAGGGAGCGAAGAGAGATGGAAAGAGGGACGGAGAGTGAGAGAGAGATGAAAAGAGAGAGATGGAAAGAGAGAG